GCCAGTGGCAGCTGACTCTCCACCATAATTTACCATTGGCCAAAATGCAATGGAAGCCCCCAAGGGCACCAAGAAGAATCCATTAGCCATCAACTATTGCCCTGTAATGTCCTTTAGCAGTCAAGGGCTTATGTATTTAAGCTGCTATCTTAATAACCTATACATCACTGTTCTTCCCAGGGCACAACAACAGTTGTCTCTTTAAGCAAGAAAAGAAAAAAAAATCACCAGGGAAAGGGAAGTTTTACAAATGGGAGATCTAAAATTAAAAAAAACCAAACTGTTTATAGTCTTAAGTGTATCACTCATTCAAAAGAAGTTCTAGTGTAATAAAAAACTAAATGCAATTTTAGCATGTGTAGGAGTGTATTTGTATGGGGAGAAAAATACTGACACAGGGTTGGAATATGATTTGGCAGACTCTCCCTGCCAGGTAGCAAAAGTCTCAGTGAGATGGCATTGTGTCCCTTAATACAAAAGAAAGTGTCATAAGTCACTGCAATTAGGAGTCAACAGATGTGATTTTGATCAAGGTGGACACAGCTCCTCAAGCTTTGGCAGAAAACTGTGTGAGAGGATCTCTAAATCCAGCTGAGAAAGCAATTAAATGCCTCCAGCCTTTTGCTGCCCCCCTGGAAGTCTGAGCAGAGAAAACAGCAGAAAGTGATTAAACCAACAAAACTTAAGTCATAAATGCAAGAAATCAAATTTATAAATAATTTTGTGGAAATTGTAGTCCCTAATCTAACCCACTCATTGAAATTTTGTTTTTTGTAGTGATTTCTCTGCAAGTTCTAAAAATGCCATGAGGGAGGGGATTGTGTATATGAATAAACTGCTGTAAACAGTCTTACAACAGGGAGCTTTAATAACTACTCATCCAGTGGTAATTTAACCTGGAAGAAATTCATCCCACTTCAAAGCCTAAATTATGGACAAATTATCAGGCACTTGTGTCTTCACTGAGTTTCCCAAAGAGATGGATGGATGCTTCCAAACTTCTCTTGAGTGTAACTTAAGCCATATAGGGATTTGTGAGATAGTCACAGCCAAGTATCCAAGTTATCGGGGTAAATCCAGAAGTAAAAGAGCTTTATCAAGACAAATGAGTGAAGGGAAAGGTATAAATCTAGCAATTGTGTGGCTGGAGCAGTGTAATTCTATAATAAGAGGCAATTTAGGTATGATTTAGCAGCATACAGGCTTCATGCTGAATCTTGGCACAAGGATGAACTCTCTTTTAGTAATCTAGCTGAAGGATAATTTTTAAAGCAAAAGCCTCATCATTGGTGCCATAATTTATTGTATCATGTTATCTTGCTTAGACATATCCATTAAATATGACAACATTCCTCAGTGTAGTAAGCAATACAGTAACATCCTCTTGATATTACTGAAAATGAACATAAAACCAAGGCTGTGTCTGTCATCTGCTGACAGAGCTGGGTCACATCCGCACCTCCACACTGAGGATTGGGAGGGAGAAAAATCAGCAAAAGAATTATCACAGCACTCATTTGTATTTCACAAGACAAACTGCAGCATTGTGAGGACCTGTAGTGTTGCCCTGTGCTGCAGGGTTTGGGCACCGAGGTGTTCACACCTGGGGGCTGTTCCTGGGCATGAAGAGGGATGCTGGAATACTTCATGAGCTACCACAGCACAGCTCTAGCAGGCTGGGAGGCGCCTCCTTCATTTCTGGTCGTGGAATGGGGATGCAAATGTGTCAGGAGTAATAGAGCTGCAGCAGATCCTGTTAGGAGGAACGAAGTGAGCTAAGGTGCTCTGCTCTGGAAGTCCTTTCCCAGAGTGTGATCAGGAGCTGCTAATTAGAAACGGGATTTGACAGCCCAGTGCTGAAAGAGAGAGGGAAAAGCAGGAAAGTGGTTTTGAGCAAAGATGCAGCAGGAAAGGAGACACGAGGGAAGGTGCATAGGGAGGGAAGGGCTGAGCAGGATTCCAGCTCCTTCCCCGGGACCGGCGCTGCCAGCGGGTGGCACCGCGGGGCTGCTGAACCACCGACCCGGGCGAGACGGGCACAGGAGAGGCTGCCATCCCTCTTCTCACATCTGTCAAGGTGTTTTCTTGAGCGGGAATCGCTGGTGGAGTCCCTCTCTCCAGACAGAGAAAAGCTACCCTGGGCTATTACCAGCCTGTGTAAACGAAGTGGATCTGCAGCGCTGGGAAGGGAAGTCTCACAGAAATGATGGTTGTGTTCCAGAGCCACATCAGCAGAGGATAAAGCTGGTACCCTGCCCAGAGGATGCCATCTGAGCTCCCTCTCCCTCAGTCCTGTGCAAAGGCAGGTTAATTTTACCTCTGCCTTTGTACATGGGAGGTTATGCTGTTGCAGCTTTAGTCCAGCTCTGCTGGAAACTACTGAGATGGAATTTCTGTCTGTACTTAGGACATGCTGCTGGTGGTGTCTCTTCTACAATAACATGGCAGTGTGCAGCCATTCTGGCCCCTTTGGCAGTGGTGCTGCTTGACTTCAAGCCAAGACTGGTGTGGCAAGCAGCATCTGGACCAGACATAGATTTTTTTTTAATACAGCATGTGGATCTCTCATTATGGCTTCAAAGGACAGTGTGGGGAAGTACTGGAGCAGAGAGTTGCTTTGAGAGTTATAGTGTAAAGCAAGGACCTAGAAGGATCTGCCAGTCATTGAAGTCTCATTGACATGTTTTTCCCTGGCTCATATCTATCCCCTTTTCTGCTCTCTCCGCTTGGAATCACTTATTTTGTAAACAAAACAGAAAGAGCAGAAGTTTCAGGCTATGTCATTCCCTGGAGTGAAGGCAAGCACACAGAGTGACAGCCTCAGGCTGCGTGTGAAGTCTTTTCAGCGAAGACAGCTTGACAAGTCCCTTGTTTGCTTCTTCCTCTTTGGTGTAGAATCAAGGCAAGGTTGGTAAACAGTGATTGCCCTGCATTCAAAATAAAGACTTCAGGCTACTAAATAGAAGAGGTTAATTAAGGTTTCTGCTTGGCTTTCCCCCTGCTGCATGAGGAGCAGCTGGATCTCTCACTCTGTTCTTCACATAGCACTCTCTCTTTGGGGGTTTTTACTTGCAGAATTTTTCATTGTCCCTGTTAGGGACATGTGTGGAACCCCTAGGCCTATTGCAAACACCTGGCATTAAATTTGTGCAGCAGTACACAGACCTTTATTGTGCAGAGCAGGAGAGGAGCTAAATTAATTCCTAAGCAATGAGGTAAAATTACTGTGAGGAAAGGAAAAACCTTGAGACATGAATACTTTTACAACACTGTCATGCTGAAAAAGGATCAGTGTTGACTGAACTTTTGAGCACAAAGGATGAAAAATGCTTTGTGTAATCAAGTAGCTTGAAACAAATTTTATACACAGACTGAGATAGCATTTAATTTTTTCCATATTTCAGTTTTACACTCCTACATAATTAATACACAGCTGACAACGTTTTTTTTCTTGTACAGGATGTGTTCCAAATAAGTACAAAATATAAAACATTCAGGTTTTTGTAATAGCAAAAACGTCTCGTTCATTTAGAAGGTGAAACAATCAGAATTAAATCAGGGGTGATGAATGGGTGCTTTTGGTACCAAATTTCTACCCAAATTTGTCACTTGCAGCAAGAGGCAAAATTTGCTGTGCTTGTCATGTCACTGTCAGAGGTAACAGAAAACTCAGAGGCATAGGGAGCAGCAGAACTCACCAGCCATGGAAGGGCCCAGCACCTCTGCCTTTTATTTTGAGTTCAGGCAGTGAGATCAGCTGCTGCATTTAATACTTGCTAGGCTGAAGGCAGCTGAAATATACTCTGCTTCATGATCTGTGTTCAGGTTGTCAAAAGAACCTCAGACTTTGCAACTGTTGTGACTGATCCAAGCTCAGCCCCTTCTGGGTTTGTAGCCTGAAACCTCCTAAGCCAATAAATCTATATTTCAGGGGCTATGGTGCCTGAGGAGCTTCCAGGCAAGGTAAAGCTGCTGAAGCTCAGAGCATCCTGGATACCTGCACTGGCTCACCCCACAGAAGGCACAAGTAACTTACCCTGAGCTAGGGAGAAGAAAAAGGCAGTGAGAATGCTGCCATTCTGGTCAGGGAGAGAAGGCTTGTCTTCACTGCAAGAATGGACATTCACACATCAAAACTGCCTCTCTCCTTTTCATCCCAGCCACTCCAACTGTTGAACTTTCAGAGGCTACCTCCATAAATAAAAATATGGGCACCAGACCCTCTGATGACATCCAGCATCTCTGGAAGTGTTACTCCATCCCTGAAAGCATCCAAGGTCAAGTTGGGTGGGGCCCTGAGCAGCCTGAGTCCGTGGGTGGCCTCCCTGCCCGTGGCAGGGGGTTGGAAGTAGATGATCTTCCAAGTTCCTTCCAACCCAAGCATTCTATCATTCTGTTATTCTGTGATCAGTTTGGGATGGCCATCAAAGGGGATCCTGTGAGACTCAACACCATGAAAAAAAGCCTATCCAGTGATATTTCTCCTCAGTTTTGGCCAGAACAGAGAGGAATTTTGGAAGGAGTTTAGTGAGACAAAGAGGAATGTTAGATTACACTTTGAAGTTTCTGTGGACATTGAATTACTGGAAGAGAAATAGTAATAGTGATTATTTATCATCAAAGACCAGCATGGACTGCATCTCAGTCCTGAGTTGATTAAAAAGAGACAGGTCTGGGCAGGGGTAACTCTTCTGTGCTTTCTATGCTACACTTCAGCATTAAAAGCTATATAAAGTGGTAATATATTTTTTCGCAGAAAACCTGACCAGTTGTATAATTTATTCTATCTTTGTATCACAATGAAAAAGTCTATTTCAACAGTTTATATGTATTTGAGTTATGAAAGGTTATATGTAGAGATGATAGAAACATATTCAAAACAGAACAGGGGTCATGATTAAATGGTTAACTTATTTCCCAAATGAATGAGAAAGGAAATAGAGTGCTGCAACCTTTTGGTCTCACTTCCTCATAAGAGGAGAGGTAGAGGCTGCCCCAGAGAGAGCAGGGCTGCTGTGCTCACACATCTCAGGCAGCCATGGGGAACTGGGTGGAGAATGAAGGACTGTCCATCTTCGTCGTTGTAAGTACAATTTCTGTTGGATTTGTGTCCAGTGAAATGTTCTGCAGAAAGCTGTGCTGAGCAGTTCTCACTGTGCCAGGGAAAGATGCACCTGAGTATGCTGAAACTGGGGCAGCAAATGCAGGGAAATGCTTCCAGGGAATCATTTTTAAGGAGCTCTCTGGTATTTCAGTTGCTGTAGGCTTCATTGTTAACTGAGAAATGATCGTGTATTAACTTTGCTTTGTTAGAAATACTTTAGCTGAGCAAAAAACTCAACTTTATTACTCACTTAACTATGTGCACTTCAACAGAGAAAGCAATTAAAACAATCACCCTTTCTTGCAATTTTATGAACAGAAATGTGTCTAACTGAAAGCACAGTGTCTTGATGGTATAAAATATTTATTAATGTCAGATTCAAGGGAGAAGAGAGTGGAGATTTAGAGCAGATTCATGAATCCTTTATTAAGACAACTACTATTTGAATTGAATTTGTTTACAGTTTGCATAGAGTGGCTGTGAAAGTAGGTTAAATTAATTCTGAGCAAGATTTAAAAATATAGAAAATCCCAGTTGCTTTCACAAATGCTAAAGAGTAAGCAGGGCAGTCCTCCTTGGAGAAAACTAAGTTTGTATTCTAGTAGGGGTTTTTTATTTCACATTGTGATACAAGGGCTAAAGGTATACCTCTATACATATGTTATGTACATATACATATATGTATTAAAAACATATACAAAACCAAAATGTTTTTCTGTTCAAATACCTGAACCAAAAGAGCAGTTCAGGTATTGTGGCTACCTTTTATTAGTAGATGTAAATACTGAGAGGAAGAAAAAGAAAGCATAGAATTTGTATCTTTTTGGTGACTGAAATATGAGCATCTTTATTCCAAGAAGTATTTCTGCTGCTATGAGCAATCAGTACTCGTGCATGACCTTGTAATTTAGCAACACAATCCCATAGCTGTGGTACATCAGTGCTTTGAAAGGGAGTAACTATGTGTTCTGTCACCTTCAGTGACTTGAGGAAGTTGAAACTGCCAAGAGGTAAATTCTGGCTTTCTTTTTGCCCTTTTTTTTTTCCCCACCAGAACTGAAATATTAAAAGAATTAAGTAAGAGGCCTTTATTTTGCTCAAATAAGGAATTCAGATTTTGAACCTCAAAGCTATAACAAGATGAGGGTAATAGGGAAGGAAACTAACAGACATAAAGAAACCAGCTAAAAGGACAGAGCACTGGAAACCCCACCCAAGTGTTCTGCTTTAACCTCTCCATCTTTACTGCACACTGAGCAGGCACAGGGCTGTCCAGTGCTTGACAGAAACAGGACAGACACAATTCCTGCTGATGTACCTTGTTTCTGTTTCAAAACAGAAACACGCTGCCACAGTGTGCCACTGTCACTTTTAATAAGTGTCCTAAGCACTTAATCCTGAGATGATCTTGGTGTTTTAACGAGGACTTGGGGATTTCCTATATACTGCCTTACCCTGATGGAAATCCTTTCATTTCCCAGTATTTATTTACATTTCCAAGATCTGAAATTAACCCAGGTTTTTTTAGAGTGTTATTTGAGCCAAAGACCTAGCAAAATATATGGATTAGGAGGGGTGAGAAGCTGTAATGTCACCTTTTCTGGGCTTTCTCCCCGTTCTCAGACTTTCTCTCTGTTTTCATGCACCACTTAGTAAAACTACTTAGACTGAGTGCAGTGTTACAGATGTGTTTCAATATGGGATGTGAAATAAGCCAACCAGCTCCAGGAGGGCAAATATCCAAATTCATTATGACCTTTTTTGCCAGATGGACTTGTAGCTGCCTAAGAGTTAATAACATGCACCTCATGATGTGTAAGTGTGAGAAAATTCTGCAGTACCTCTACAAAGCCTGGTTTGGGGTAGTGTACATGCTACCAAGGACCTGTGTTGAATATTCCCTGCTGGCTGTTTTCAGACCTTCTTCTTGAATTCAGCCCTATGTGTAATTCAGCCCATCTAAATTTAGATCTCAAGCTTCTCTGTCACACTTCCCAAGTCTTCCTCTCACATAGGTTAATGTGGCTGTGGAGGGGAACTGCCATTTTAAACAGTCCTTAACCTTCAATGATATTTAGAGATTTAACTGGACTCAGAATTAAACAATTATAATATGCCAGTCCTGATACAACCAACCCTAAACTCCTTGACCTATGAAAACACTGCAGCTGCACATTGCTCTGTTTTTGTCTATTGTCACTCCTGTACCCTGTGTTCACAAATCAGAGCCTGTTTACACCAGAAAGATTTCTATCACCCTTGCAGAAAACTTTATACCCTGCAGTACATCTCTCTGTGCAAACAGGAGCACAGGGAGGTAACTGACCATTATCTGAACTGTGTAAATTCAGACAGATTACTTCTAACAACAAACTGTAAGCTTCCTGTTTAATTCTCTTTCAGCTTGTGTGGCTGGGCTTAAATGTCTTCCTCTTTTGGTGGTATTATCTTGTGTATGATGTCCCACCAAAGTTCTTCTACACCAGAGTGCTCCTTGGCGTAAGTACAAGACGTTGTTCTGGCACAGACACAGCACACAGCAGTTTTCAATGGTTTTAGCTGATCAAAACTGGATCTGGTGGCTGGAGCAGTAGGCTCATGTAAAAGTCACATGCAAGCAGATAACTGAATGTAGGCAGATGTTCATGCTTCTGAACAGAAAGCTGGTACACAAAATAGAGAGATGCCATTCTAAAGATGTTTTCAGTTAACTATTATGCTCCTGGTAATTAAATTAAGCATTAATTGTGGCTATTTTATTAAGCAAAAGATTAATAAAATATTGCTGTTGAACTGCTGTGCAGTCATTTCTCCTTGCAATTATTTTTCAGAGCATGAATAGTTTATAAAGATATTAGCTCTGAAAAGCAATCATCATCCATATATTCATCAAGAATGGGAGTGGTAGCCAGGTAGTGAAGTGATCCTGGATCCTGGGCTATTCCATGTAATCCAGCTGGTTAATCCAGCATTGAGTGTCCTACTACAAACTTGCTTCCAAAGCTACCAAAGGTCGTGACCAATTGCCAGGGAAAATTAATTTGTTCACATATTTTAAAACCCTGACCAGAGGCATAAAAATCAGCCTAAGCTTCAGATTACAGAGCACAGCATTTTGCTGAAGGTTTGCAAAGCCGTGGTTTAATTTTACAAAGCCTGAAATCCCATTCTGCATACAGCTTCTGCTCTGTGGGTCAAATCCTGTCCTCTGCAATCATAATGCAGTTGCCTTTGAAATCACAGAGACTTGTGCTTGGATAAGTACACCTCAGTGTAAACCCAAACAGCTCTGCTCTAAAACCTAAAAGGGTCTCAATCCATGCAAGGAGAGCAAACATTATTTTTCTTCCCTTCACTGCATTTTTATTAATATGGTCATTTTTACTTCATTTCAAACAATTCAAAAATATTAAATATTTAAGGATATAAAGACCAACATTAAGGAAACAGATTCCTAAAAGCTGAGACAACACATTTCCCTGGACTCTTTTACTGATAGAGAATTTAAACCACTTCTCTTATAAGCTGTCCATAACCCCCACAAACTGAAACGACAGACTCTTTACAGCCTTGGGACACAAAACTCTACAAATGGCTTAGATTTGCCCCTGTGTTTGACTTCTGAATGCCAAACATGGCAGGGAGATTTTTATACAACCATGTTAATCCAAAACTGAAAACAGGAGGTGTCTGTCTGTCTGCAGGACGTATTCTGCCTGCTCATGTCTTTCTGCCTTGACCAGAGCATGATTCCTTTGAATATTCACGGTGTAAATGTGAACTGTAAATCTCACACTCTTTACCAGCTATAACACATAAATGAAATCTGTGCCCTGGATAATGTCTTAGATAATGCAGCTAATAACAGCATCTCTCTAATTCCAGCGTGCTCTGGCTCTTGCAAGGGCCCCTGCAGCCTGCCTGAATTTCAATTGCATGCTGATTCTGCTGCCAGTATGTCGAAACCTGCTCTCCTTCCTCAGAGGATCAAGTGCGGTAAGATGAAGAAAGAATTTCAAAATTTGTGAAAGATATTATCTTTCATATCTAAACAGACTTGCAAGTATACCAAGAAACTGTGTTCAAGTTCCCCAAATATACCATATTTTGAGGATGTCCTTTTATGAGAAGCAGATAAGCCTGGAGTTTGGCTATGAGCAAGACTGAACTCTAATGCCCATGGGGTATCTAGAGCTCTGTTGAGAGCTTAGCTGAATTAGTCTCCTTTGAGTCCTCCCTTTTCAGCTGCCTCCTGGGCATGGTCCTGCCCTGGATGCAAAGTCCCTTTTTTGATGGCAGAAGCTGTTGGTGCTCACACACATCCACTGTTTGTCACTGATGTTACACTCACTTAGAGAGAGAAATATTAGCCCCTGTCTGTCTTTGCATGCTCAGTCCTTAAGGTAAATGTAGTCTTTTACAGACTTCCAGAATGGGGCTTTTTTTCAGCTGGCTCATAAATCATGTTCTATCTTGTGTGAACTGCATTTCCATCTCAGATGAAATACTTCACACACCCTTTGATTTTTTTGAGCTCCCAAATACAACTGTTATATCCAGCACTGAGGAGCTGACTCTAAGGAAAGGACAACTTATCCTAAGTGACAGCTGGAGAGGTTCCTGTGATAGTACTGATTCTATCACACTGCCAAAATCTTGATTTCTGGCTATTACAGCAGAAATAATGCAGACAATGCAGGCATGGTCCAGTGAAAAAGCAATATGCTCCTCAAGTTCATGAATTGTCCTTCCAAATGTATAATGATTCTTCCTTTCTTTTTAGACATTTTTAACATAAACAGGATCAACAAAACCAGTTCCCAGAAGTTGTTTTTCATCTCTAAACCCAGTCTAAATTTCTTAATGCAAATGAGACAGCCTGCAGGGGCTGGAAAGGCAGAGCAGAAGAGGAAGTGATAAAATAGATGCAGTGTTTCAACAGTCCTTCATAAGAAAAGAAAGTGTGATATGAAGCAATAAGAAAATAACCAGGGACAAAATAGGCTGTACTTCCATCTAGTACAACATACATCCTCACAATGAGGGTGGCTGAATAAATGAGATGTGCCTACCACTTTAAACTCTTTAATTACATTTATGAGCAAGGCCAGTGCTCTAGCCTTTCTAAGGAATAACAATTAGCAATATAAAATTGGAAATACATGTCAGGCTTTCAGTCTTTTCCTGTACTCCTTCAGATCCTGAGATGCTACAAAGCAGCCAGCCATGCCCTCCATTCATGGAAAAGGAGAAAGGATAGTAAATAAAGCTGTAGGGTTGAAGTTGTTATTCCCCAGGCAGATCAGTAAGTATCAGCCAAAATCCAGAGCTGACTCCTCTGGCAGCAGCAGTCAATAATGAACATAAATTTAGAAAGAATTAATGCTGCTGTGGATGAATTCAACTGGAAAATAATGACAAGCTCATGATCATAAAAGGCATTTTTGAGATTGCACAGGTGAAAGAAAGCTGGGCAGAGATCTTCTGAGCTCAAAGCAGTGAAAGAGCTAGGTGCACACATGAAGACTACTGGAAGGCAAAAAACTGATTCTGGGTGTTGAGAATTGTATTCCAGCTGGGACTCTTGTGCTACTTGTCCTGAATTGCTCCTCTTCTAGCATGCATAACCTAGGTCTTCTAACCAAGGTCTTGGGAAACTTTGTATTCAAACTACAGAGTCAGTCCTTCTGCCTTGGGCATTGTGGCAGAGTCACTCAGGCTACACCCAGACAAAAGTGAGTCCCAGGCTGGGAGACACAGTTCCATTCCTGCTGGCAGCACACTGCCCTGCTGATGGCTGGGAATGAGGAAGCAAAGGGCTCTGAGGGTGAGCAAGGAGGGCAGGGACGGGTACAGAACTGGACTCAGACAGCCGGTGTTTGTTTAGCTCCAGTTGCTTTTTTGCAGTAAAGCTACACCTCAGGAAGGATGCAATTTTAGATCTTCAGCAAAAACACACAGTGAGCCACCAGCAGTGACAGTGCTGTGGTGGCCTCAGCACAGGGGGACAGCTTGTTGTGCTGTTGTCTCTGATTAGCTATGCTCTGCAGGTAACAACTGTGAGAGTCTATAAGAAAAATCATTTAAATGTCAAATAACTTATTGGAAGAGAGGTGACCTTCCCAACAGCAATGTCATTGGGGTCAAGAAGAGGAGGGAATTGCTCAAACACAGCGTTCAAAGGGAGTGTACAGAAAAGTCTTGCCCTCTCCATCCTGCCACCCAGAAATCACATGTTACAAAGTTATTTGTGATAACTTTATAACTTTTTAATTGAAAAGATAGCTGTGATATGTTTTGCATGTCCATCATTGCTGTATTCATTGCTGTTAATGGCCATATGACTGAAGGCAGCTGGAGCCCTCTGCCATTGCTTGGCTTTCTCTCCTTAGATCAAGTGGTGTTTGCAAGGGAGTCAAGCACTGGCTCACCATTCTACATTTTATTCAACAATATCTTTTATTGTTTCTCAATACAGGTGATACAAAAAGGCCAAATTTCTCCTGGTTGTTATTGTAGTCTGAAGTGATTGTGGCAGCGCCAGAGTGTTTGCCTCTTGTGAGGAAATACTTGTGGTAGTTTGTACAGTGTTTTGTTCCCTTATCCGGTCAGCAAACACAATGCAAACATACAGCACATGACAGTCATGCCTTCTACTGTGTGGAGACAGCAAATGGCAGCTTTACAGAGATTTAAGGCTTTAGGGAAACTCCCAGGGACTGCAGCAGAGTTCATGTGGGGTCTTTTAGGAGCCCATCATCATTAGTAATAAAAATGTCATTCTGTTTTTCTTGAGAATTAATTTCTTTGGTTTGTATCTGCAGAGATTTTTGCTAGGGTTTCTTTGGGTGACTCCAAAATCAAGTTGTAAGTGAATGCCTGAGAACTAAATCCAGTGTTCTGGGGAAGGAATGCCTTCGTATCACTGCCATAGGTGATATGAATTGGGATGGGAGCTCCCTGAGACAGTTACACCCAAACTTTGCAGCTTGTTTCTAGATTGTGAACCACAGTAGGATCCTGGTGCTACCAAAGCAGTCACTCAGCCACAGCAGACTGTGATCCCTCATTTTGTTTATAATGTACAATTTAAAACAGATAAGATGTATTCCATTGTCACACTGGATGTTAAATTTTTTCTCCTTATCAAATACTTTGTTTCAGGGGGACATGTTAAAACATCATCTGGAATTCCTGTTTTCTGAAAGAATATTTTTGTGTATATTCTGCAATTCTGAATTTTTTCTAGCAATGCCATCAATGTGCTCGGGGCTTCTGGTTTTGTCTCTGCCTTTAAAAAGTGTGCACAGACAACAAAAATATTCTTCAAATACCTTTTTCTTTCTATCCAAAGTGCTGCTCGACTCGGATCAGGCGACAGCTGGACAGAAACCTCACCTTTCACAAAATGGTGGCCTGGATGATTGCCCTTCACACTGGTTGGTACTCTAATGTTTCTGTGTTTGCTGCTTTCTTGTGTATTTTACATGGAATTCAGGTGGCATCAAAGTTCTTAAGGATATGGACAGAGACCTGATTTCATTAAAGGAGTCAGTGTGTGCCAAGGCTTAAATCAGTTTCCAGATATGTGCCAACTGTCAGAGAGCAAAAGATAAGAAAGAATACCTTTATTTTGAACTGTCAGCACTATTTATGATAGTTTAATAAAGGGTGTTTAGCAATGTCCTGAGAACCAGATACACTGGATTTGATTCTTGTTTAGACTTACATCTTATCTGCCACCTAAAACAAATAATAGAAATTCTTTTTTAAAAAGAATATAAAAAGCTTGAACCTGTTTTGAAGATAAATAAGTATCTACTTATAGAATATGGTTCAATTTTTGAAAAGCATTGTACAATTTTACACTACAAAAACATGTAGTGGAATTTGTGTGAACACGTCACTGGTTTAAGTTTTTGGATGCATTCAGCTCAGTGAGAATATTACTGATGATTAATAGCAAAACTGCAGAACAAAACAGCACTTACAAATGTGACCCCAAATAAATCCATATTCAATTCCTGGCTGCTTTACAGAAGTCCTGAATGAGGATGATCCTAAAAAATAGTTTAAGCCATTCCATGTTTCAGTATCCTATTTGTTAGGGCACGACTACTCGAATTGTTGAAAGGCTTTGTTGAACAAAAATATACGGAAAATTTCCCATTACTTCTTTCCCTCCCTCACCCAAAGCCTGCAAAATTCAGGTAGTAAAATTTTAACGGTAAAACACATCAGTGATCTGCAATTGTGATGAAGATGGCAAGAGCGACAGAGCCCTTAAGCAGCAGCTGATAAATGTGACAAAGTTTCAGATGTTACCCCAAACCACCCAGTACCTGTGGTCAATGCTGATTATTCCTCTCCTGTCACTCCTAGCAATTCACACCATTGCACACTTATTCAACGTGGAGTGGAGTGTGCAAGCCCGTGTTGAAGAGAAAGGCACCCTGGCAGCTGTGCTTTCTGGCCTTGGGGACAAACCAAAGGAAAGCTATGTGAACTTCTACAGGCAAACCCTTGCTGTAAGTGACTCCAAAGGGTCATCATGACATTTGTGTGGGTGATCATACAAGAGCATTTGGGCAGAGTGCCTGTTTCTGGTGTCCATAGTCTGGGTTTGGGCCATCTTGCAGAAAAACCTTGTAGAATTCATTTTTCTATATTTGCCAGTAATATCATTGCTGAGCTCTGGTAGTACTTTAACCTTTTTCACCTGAAGATTTCAAAGTAGTTTTGAAACATTATGTAAAAGCATACCCTGTAAAGCAGTGTTCTGACTTAGACATGGCACTCAGAAAGGTACACAGAAGTAAAGGCAAGAGTTTTGAAGTTGGGTAGTTTAAGCTCTGGTGAGTGGGGAAAAAGAAAATAAAGTACTTCCCTACTTCTCAGAAGAGCACTGAGCTTCCAAACTCTGCATGAGTTATGAGTCCCACAGCTGTGCAATCCTAGAGGAAAGCAGAGTTTTCATTTAGCTCCTGAAATATGGATGTAGGACTCCAGTTCTGAGCACCAGAGCTGTGCAAATGTATTCACCTTCCCCAAAGCAGTCCTGCTGAGCCATGGCAGAGTAAGAAACCATGTTTGGTGTGTTAATTCATAGAAAAAGCATTCTCTCTACTTCCAATTACCTTAGTAAAGGTAAATGTGCAGCGCAACAAAAATGAACAGGGATTTTGGCATCAGATGACTTAAGGACTTATAACCAAGTAAAGAGTTTGGTGAGGGATGGTTCAACTGGCTCTGCTTTGGTGCAACCCCTTCCTTAGACCAAGGTGTGCAATTGTTTCACAGAATCCCATTGGGGGCCTCTATGTGGCTTTCACATACTTGGCTGGCATCACTGGGGTTGTCATCACACTGGCCCTCATCCTCATCATCACCTCATCCACCAAAACCATCCGGAGGTCGTATTTTGAAGTATTTTGGTACACCCACCATCTCTTTGTCATCTTCTTTATTGGCCTTGTAATCCATGGTGCTGGGTAAGTATTTGCACTTATCACAAAATGTCTGATAACCACTGAATCTTTATTGAAAGCCCCCTTCACACATGAGTATGGGGGCTTCTGTCACTGAGCAGCAGCTAGTTTTGATGGCAGTGATGGGCCAGTAGAGGCTCTGAGAGTCAAGAGGCTCTCACTGATACTTGCGACAAGCTGTCCTCACACAGGTTTCATTTGGCTTTGGCATACTTAAGCTCACTATCATTCAACTTCTTCTGATACCTCAACTGCAAAACTCTTTTCCAAGGTTTCTGCTTCTAATTGTTAATTTTCCTTCCTCTCCTAAAAGGAATTGAATCACACACATGCATGTAAGGAGATCTCAGTATAAAAATTACATAGAGTCTAGAATTTTACTGGATGATGAAAACTATAGTAATATAGATTTATGTTTCAGGCTTGGATTAACTTGTATTATCAGCAGCATTTAAGAATAGAATTTTAGCTGTTTCAACTTAGAAGTAGGTATTTGTAAAGTTTTCTCCCTTTCAAATGCCAAACATCTTTTTCTGCTGTTGCTTCATTCCATATCTTCTTCTGAAAGGGCTGAAAAGCCTAATGAAACAGTTTTAGCACTACACAAACACAATTTTAGCCCTTAGAAAAATGAACTTTAGATCCATTTTATAAAACCAAAGAATGGATGAATAAAGAAAAAAGACTCAAGTATCCAAGCTACATTTAAATAGTTAATAATTACACTACATTGCCCATTTTAAAGGAAGTCCTACATGCAATAGAAAGTGTGCTTTAAAAATGCCCAGCAAAAATGACTATTCAAAACCACTTCCTTACAGTCCATTAGTGCCACTAAGAAGACAAAAATCAAAGTAAAACAGGAAGAACAAAAATAGAAGGCAGATGGGAATCACCCCCAGCATATTTGTTCATTCCAACTTTCATAACAAGGAAACAGTTTGAGCAACACTTCTGGAAGTAAAAAAACAAGAGGTTCATGTTTTCTGCAGCAAACAGTGTATAGTTACTGACACAATGTCCAAACTTACCAGTGATTACTATACAATGCTATCAGAAAGCAAGCATTTCCCTTTCCAGAGGTCAGTGGAGAGCATATATTTTTGAGCATAAAAGTTGAATTTTTGTTTACTTCAGTGTTCCCTGTACTCCCACCATCTTAATTGTACTGGAATGAAAAGGCAAGAGTTTGGGCAGCAGTGTTGTCAGTGAAGTTCAGCTATCCTTTGGAAGCAGATATAAATAGGAATGTTCTCATCTGTAGAGGAAAGGATGCTTTCCAGCTGTGAACTCAGTGACCTCACTTATTTGGCCTTCAAGGTAATAATGAGCAAATACACTGACAAATACGAGATGGGCTTGTTACACTCATGGAAGGCATCTCACGTGTGCAAAGATGGATGTCATGGAATGAGTATGAACTGACAGTCTCAAAGCAATATGTTAGGAAGAGACATAAATGCCATTTTATCTCAGGGGCCAGAAGGCTGTCACACGTATTCTCATTAATCTCGACAAACACACACCTTTGTATACACAGAAAGCTGAGTCAAAGGTTACTGATAGCATCAAAGGGGCAAGAAGGATGGAGAGAGACTTTACAGGAGCATAGAGTGACAGACAAGGGAAATGGCTTCAAACTGAGAGTAGGTTTGGATTAGATATTAGGAAGAAATTCTTTACTGTGAGGTTGTTGAGGCACTGACATAGATAGTACAGAAAAGCTGTGCCTGCCCCATCCCTGGAACTGTTCAAGGCCAGGCTGGATGGGGCTCTGAGCAACCTGGTCCAGTGAAAGTTGTTGCTGCCCATGGCAGGGGGGTTGGAACTGGATGATCTTTGAGGTCCCTTCCAACCCAACCATTGTGTGATTTAATTCTCTGACTCTACAATAGTTCTTGTCTGTTACAAGCTGTTACAGCACTTTTGAAGCACTGTTGTTTGTTTGTGCATGAGCTCTGTGTCACAGACAAATGTCCCAAATTTCCCAACACAGTAAATGTGAAGAGGAGAGGGCGCAGAGGTGCAGTTCACTCTTTTGGAGTTTAAAGAAAACCTTCAGCCAAAAAAGAAATAGCTGTAAGTCCATACTGCTGAAAGCTTAATTACAGCACTAGAAAGAGCATCTACACTGACTGATAAAGGGAAATAAACTTTTTTTTCCTCTTCTACATGGTACTGACATTGTCAAGCCTTTAATAGAGCATAGAGCAGGGCAAAAACCCTCAAACCCCCTTTCTCTTAAGCAATGGGGTGGGCAGGGGAGGAAATGAGCTCCTCCTGTTCCTATAACTGATCCCAGAGGTGGCTCAGCTGAACCCCCTGTCATTAATGGGGAAGTGAAGTGCAACTGCTGATGTCCCTGCAAATTGCAACTCGTGATGCTGCTGGGACACTGCCACTGCTTCCCTTTATTTTTCAGACAGGATATTAATCAAACATTTAATGAAGAAGAGGTTCATTAGTAATATTTATGAGCAATATCTTGTCTCTCAACCCTGCGCAGAGGTTTTGTAACAATTCTCTGAAAAATCTGTCACACAAAGCTAGGCATGAATATGGCTTATATACCATGGGGATTTTTGAAATATCAGAAATGTTGTCTAGCTCACAGACATTGAGCTAGGAAAGCAGAAAGAGAAGTCATGGGGAGAAGATATCAAAGAATCACATTGGCATAAAACTGACCAGCCTGATCAGAAGCAGACTGTTTCTAGCGAAAATTCAGCAGATCTTAATCTGAATTTTTCTACTAAGATCTTGAGGTTGGCAGAACTCCAGACAGATGTGGGAAACAGTGAAAAAATATACTTTTGCCCCTTGAAACTGAAATTACCTCTCTTCACCAGTTCTGCTACTGGAAATACAACTGTACTGGATCAGTCAGGATTCTTTATACTAAAACAAACTTCAACAAATGAATAAACAAAAAAAACAACCAAGAAAATTCAGGCCAGATAATCGGCTGATGCAAGGTGCTATAGTTGCAATAGCTGCTTGTGTCAAAAGCATCTGTATTCATTCATGGCACCTGAGCAGCTGCTCCACAGCATTAGAGGGAGAGGAAGAGCCAAAGGAAGAATATTTTTAAAGAGATCTCCAAATTTCTAAAATAAACAGCAGAAATAATCTCTGTAGTGGTCAGTAGCAAATTGACCATTCCAGATTTTGGGTTTTGTTTGTTTTGTTTGTTTGTTCTTTTGGTCAGTTTTTTGGTTTGTTTTTTTTTTTTTTTTAATTGAAGAAAAAAGTAGGATAACTCAGAAAAGAACCAAGCCTTCTAATTGTGACCACATCCTGGAAGTGGTAATGGGCATAACTCTCAGTTCCTCACCTAACCTTGAAGTCAGGATTTTATCCCACAGACTTCCCTCCCCATTTTTATTTCTTTAATAGTAACTTTGTGGGTAGATTAGAGCAGTAAATCTATATCAAAGCTGTAGCAGTGCAGAAATTGACAACTCCATATAAATAGGGTGATGTACATAAATAGAGTAACAATAAGGAACAGATACTTTCATTTTAATTTCATTGCCTTCATGACCTTTATTTTTTTCCCAGTCGTATTGTACGGGGACAGACAGCTGAAAGCCTGGCTGAGCACAACCCAGAGATTTGCAGCAAGAACTTCACTCTCTGGGGCAAGAGTGAGGCTTGCCCAATCCCCCAGTTTTCAGGGAATCCTCCTATGGTAAGAACAGCTGGCTTGTCTGCAAATCCAATTAAAATTGTTTACAGTTTTCTATTTTTTCTAAATTGCATAGAAAACCAGCTATATAACCCTCAGCACTCTTCAGTGGCAGCTTTCTTTGCATAAAGCAAGAGGTCTGGGCACAGTGGGTTGTAAGCAGAAATGGACTCCAGACTACACATTTCCAGTGTGCTGTAAAATAAGCACAGCTGACAGACAAAGCAAAAGAGCAAATTGGTATCTGAGAACTTTTTATCGAAAAAGTAAACTGCAAAGTAATGGCTCCTGGGGATATCTAGAAAGTGCTATAATGCTCATAATAAATAGTTTAACATTACTAATGGACTAATGATCATTAGCAAGAAAATAACACCCCTGAAAATGTGAATTTGAAACTTCAGCTTTTATTGACTAACCAGGCTGTTTTTTCTTTCACATTTCAGAGTGATCTGTTAACAGAAACCACATCTTTTCCTGCAGTTATACAGACCTGAGTCAATAATACCTGAACACCACATTTCACTTTGTTACATTCTTTTTTAGACAGAGACAAAATTACTTGCAGGAAAATACCTTGCTGTAACTCTAGTAGAAACTAAAAAGCCAGCTGCAGCAGTCAACAGATAAAGAAATTCCCCCTCTGAACAGAATTTTGAAACTGTCATATATCTTAAGGATTCCTTAATCTAGTTAATAAACAATACCGATTACATGAACTTCACCTCTGCTTATGGAATTTCCAGGATTTGATTTGATCTAAGTTGATCTCATCTAGTGGAAGGTGCCCCTGTTCACAGCAGGGGGTTGGAACTAGATGATCTCTAAGATCTCTTCCAACCCAAACCTTTCTATGACTCTGTGATCTTCATCTTCTAACCTGTTTTCTTTGCTTACAGACATGGAAGTGGGTGGTGGGTCCCATGTTCCTGTACCTGTGTGAGCGGCTGGTGCGGTTTTGGAGGTCACAGCAGAAGGTTGTTATCACAAAGGTAAGTTAAGTGCAGCTGATGCTGCACTTAACACCAGGCAGAGCATCACCTTCTTCTCCAAATGGTGCAGCAAAGGCAGAGGCTCCTCCATACCCAGGTTATCAGTGGAAGGAATGCTCTGACTGCTGTGATGATGCTAACATCTAACATACAAATGTGGCCTCTAAAAGTGAGCAAGAGGAGGAAGTTAGCTAAGACACAGGATTAAATCTTAGGAAATAAATGAATTTTCTTTGTATTGGGTGAAAAAATTCCAAGTACAGAAATTCCATAGACTTGAGACCAATTTAAGACACAGAACAAATGACCCCTGAAAACGAGTTCAGAGCATGTTTATTTTATGTATCCGAGTCTAATGTTGAGCTTCCATTCCCATGGTGTGCTGCAGAGATGTTAACACTGATCCTGAAATTCTGACAGCTGAATTAGCACAGAACTAAGCTCAAAGTTATGAAAACTATCCTGGCCTTTCCCAGTGTAATTTCCTCACATGGCACTGTGCTGTATCCCAAGGACACACCCTGTTCAAATCATAGCAGGGTTTGAGGGATGACATTAGGCGTTTCTACTGTGCTCTATAATAATGCTGACACATTGGAAGGCTCCTAAATGTGTGCTTTTGATAATTTTACCAAAATATCCTGTGAGCCTCTTCTACATTATATTTCTAAGGCATCTGTTTTGTGCCCTGTTGGCAGAAAATTTCCTTCACCATCCTAAACACCACAGTTAATACATAAGTTAACAGACAGAGAGACTTGATTCTCCCTCTTGCAAATCTCTCTTGAAAAATGTAAATAATTTTGGCAGGCAACTTTAGGATTAAAAATTAGAGTGACAGAATTACTGGTTTTACTTCAAGAAGATTGTTTCTAAAGAATAGCCAAGGTCCCACCGGACTAAAACAAGAAAACATCCATTTCCAGTGGCACTGCCTATCCAATATCTGTGGGATAGCCCTGTGATTTTGCCCCTATATTTACAGTCAGGCCCATTAACTCTGTGCTCTGTGCCAGTGGGTAAGGTCTATCTGGAATTAACAATGTGCTTACACAGATCTGGTGATGTGTTACAAGATGGGCCAGCCTGGCCTGTCCTTTGGAGTGACTGCAAGTGTGGTGTGAGAAAATACTTCAACCAAAACATCAGCATCCTCTGCAGGCTTTCATTTGCCTGTCAGGTGCTGTTGCTCACTCTCAGTTCTGCTGGGAAGAAAGTTTCACCTGCTTTCCTCGCTCTTATAGCAGAAATGATGTTAGTGATGGTGGATGTAAATACATCAGTGAGGACAGACATTTTCTTTTCCTTATTTTTCCTGATGCCCTTCTCACTGTAGGTGGTCATTCATCCCTTCAAGACAATTGAGCTCCAGATGATGAAAAAAGGCTTCAAGATGGAGGTTGGACAATACATTTTTGTCAAATGCCCAGCAGTGTCTAAACTGGAATGGCATCCATTCACACTGACTTCTGCCCCAGAAGAGGATTACTTCAGCATTCATGTCCGAATCGTGGGAGACTGGACTGAGGGCTTGTTCAACGCCTGTGGCTGTGATAAACAAGAATTCCAGGAGGCATGGAAGATGCCCAAGTATGTACAAAGAGTCAAAAAACACCAATGGCAGTTTAAATATTGCTCAAGAAATTTGATGGCACCAGTGACACCAACATTGAATGGTGAAACAGATGTAGGTCTTAGGAGCCTCTTTACAGTTTTTTCTATAAACTCCACCTCTTCTTTTGCTGACTAGTATTCAGTCCAAATTTGCACTGTAGCAGACAAATACATTTTAACTGTCATTATAAATGGTGTTAATAAATATTCACTGCTGATTTAATAAGCATACTTTCAATTCCAGGATAGCTGTGGATGGCCCCTTTGGAACAGCGAGTGAGGACGTGTTCAGCTATGAAACTGTGATGCTGGTTGGAGCTGGAATAGGGGTCACCCCCTTTGCATCTGTCCTCAAATCTGTCTGGTACAAATACTGCCATGATGCCACCAACCTTAAGCTCAAGAAGGTATTGTGTCCTCTTTCACAGATCCCTGAAACTGTTCAAGGGCCAAGGGCCCAAATCAAAACAGGCATAGCAAAGGTGATCTGGCTCCAGGCATGCATGAGTCCTAAAAGAAGGAGGAGTTCAGCTGACTCTCAAGGTTAGCAGGAAGAAAACAGGAGGCTCTAAAGCAAAAATATAATGAAAGGAGAAATAGCCTACAAGCCAAATCACACATGCTAATCCTGACTGTGGCCCTGGGGAATTCCAGTTGCAGTGGAAATGGTGTTCCTTGAGAAACATAAAGTTCAAGGCACTAATGCAGCCTGGGGAAATATTGCATTCCTTCCCCCAGCACAAAGAGAAAGGCGTTTCATAAGTAGAAGAACAATGGAAGCATCCTCCTGTCCCCTCCTGCCCCTGGAAACTCCCTGTGCAGAGGTGTGGGGTCACACTTTGCAGTTATGGCCATATTCAGAGAACAGAACTGGGTTTTTTACCTACTTTATCTTGCCTGCAGGCAGACAGAGAGTTCACCTCTAAATCATTTATTTATATCCTAACAAACCGTTTTACAAGGAGATAAGTGGGGAAACATTGAGAACTGAAAGTGTAGAAGAGAAACAAGAAGATATTTCCTTGTTCTTGCAGTCAGTCATTCAGCTTTATAAACGCTCTCAGCATCAAAATTCCTGAATAGCTTCAATACCATCCTACCCATCTACTGACGTTCTCAGGACATTTTTTACCAGAACTCTATAATCCTCACTCTGTCAGCAGACATAAACCTGACATAAACCTGGAAAACATAAGTGCCTATGTCCCCTGACAGCTCATTCTTGTCTCTTCCAGATTTATTTTTACTGGCTTTGCAGGGACACTCATGCCTTTGAATGGTTTGCTGACCTCTTGCAATCTCTGGAGGCTCAAATGCAGGAGAGGAATAATGCAGAGTTTCTGAGCTATAACATCTACCTTACAGGCTGGGATGAAACTCAGGTAAACACACAGTGGGAGATATCACTGCCATAAAACTGAGGTTGATGTTAGAAAATTTGTTCTCATAACTATTCAAATGGTCTTTTATCCTGGGCATCCACCTGGCTCCCAGAGGTTTTGTCTGTGTGCAGACAGGTGTTACCTATCAGAAGTTACCTGGGATCAATTGTTTATGTGCACTGATTTCCTTTCTGCTTTCCTCTGGCTCTGTGGGAAGCAGACTTTGTTCACAGGAGGGACCTCAGCTGACCATGTATGAGTCTCCAAAGCAGATGATGCTGCCTCAAGCATGTAATCAAGAGCTTTAGGAACCAGGGAAGCCAATGCACAAAGCTTGAACCATAGCAGCATATTTGTTTCAGGACTCATGAGTTCTCTGGTCCTGTACTAGTAGATTGCTGTGGGGATGCAAAGGAGCAGACACCTGAGAATGTGGGATTGAGTCAGGAAAGGCTCTCACTGTTACTTTTAGTGATGTTTTACATTGCATTTATCTCACCATTGCAAAATTCACCATGTGCCCAAAGTGCTGTAGCTCAGCTAGATAGACAGGGAGGGGAGAAGCAAAGAAGTTATCACATATGGAACATTAAAAAAAAGAGAAAGGAAAGAAGAAAAGTCCCACATTTTTTTCCCTGGAGATAAAGTTACCTGGAACTTTTTTTGTTTCATATAAAAGGGTTACAGAACTCTGTAAGGCCTGAGCTTATGCCTTTAACCACATCTTCTCTTCCTTGCTTTACATAATTTATCTGGTCTAGCTGGAAGTTACACAGGCAAGGCCTCCTCATTTAGATCAAACCTTCCAGAGAACAAACTGGCAGGATTCCATTATGGTCAAGGGAGTCATGCTATCGCATTTGAAGGGAAAAGATTTTTTTAATTTGCAGTCCTCTGGTAGAGTTCTTAGACTAAACCTGTGAATTGAAAAAACCCTACAATTAATTGCTGTGTTCAGGTTTCACAGCTTTAACTCTTGAGGTCACCCAGTCTGGGGAGAAGGAAGGGGTAGATGCTGATAGTCAGGATTTTATCAGTCTTAGCTTTCCTTGCAAAACACCATAAATTCCATAATCTCATTAGGGAAATAATTCAGTCAGTATTGACATTTTTATTTTTTTAACCAGAACACAATGCTGCTGTATTTATCTGATCTTGTCTTTCATTTCCCACAGGCCACTCACTTTGCAGTGCATCATGAAGAAGAGAAAGATGTGATTACAGGACTGAAACAGAAAACCTTGTATGGAAGACCTAACTGGGAAAATGAGTTCAAAACGATTGCGGGGAAGCATCCTGGGTAAACCTTTGCAAATTTATAATGTCTGTGGACTTCCTCTGTTTAATGGCCATACACATCATACAGCACAATCTTGTTCCTTTGGCTGATAAAGTTTCAGGAGCATTTTTTTACCGTACCTATCTCCAGCTATTTTCTACTCTATTTTCAGCCATGGATATGATCCATGATCTTGAACAAATTATTTTGACCTACAATTTTTTAAAAAATCATTCCTTTTCCACAAGATACTTCTTGGATTGTCTAATTACTAGCAGAAGATTTAGGAAAAAACTATCCCTATCCTTCTAGCTGAAGTAAATAGGAATATCAGGTTCACCTCCAAAACCACTTTCTACCTCTAGAAACCAAACCTGAATATGGATGACCTTTAGCTAACCACTCAAAATTTGCAGGAAAAAAACAGAATAGCTCCTCTCAAGAATTTGTGCCATAAGCTCTTTGAATCTCTATTTCTTTGATTCAGTGAGGTCAGCAAACCTGTCTTGACTGACTAAGGCTGAGCTGAGATTTAGCTCAGCTTTTGTTTTAGAAGCAGCAATAAGTTTGAAGGGGTTATAAGGTTTAGGGGATAGACATCCAGTTCTACTTCAGTTCCTGTAATTGGGAAAAAACCTTGCATCTCTAGAACATAAAAATGATTTACATGGGGAATATCCAGCTGCTCCATACCAATTTCTGACCATATTTTCATTTTCTCAACAGCTCCAGAATAGGTGTTTTCCTCTGTGGCCCTGAGGGCCTGGCTGACACACTCAACAAGCAGAGCATCAGCAACTCAGAAGCTGATCCACGAGGAGTGCACTTCATTTTTAACAAAGAAAATTTCTAACTCTGAAGCAAGTGGGAGTCATTAGTAGCAAAGTCTAAGGACTGAATCTGTTTTTCTGTTTGGAGTCTGGGAAGGACAGCCCAGCTTCTGAATTTCAGCTACACTAACACAGGTCCCTTTGCTTCTTGGGAATGATTTTGGCTCTGTGGTAGAATAAAAGAGTCAAGTCTTACCTTAGGGAAGTTTTCATTGCCCTCTGTGTGCTGGCTATTTAGTAGAAATCTGTTTTCTTAGTCTGTGTGAGGGGATTTCCCCTCAATTAACTGCCTTTATCCTCCTATTATTTGCCACACTGCTGAAGAGTGGAGGCTGTCATTTGCTTTTGGGAGCCAATTCAGACCCATAAAGCTTGGTGCTATTAAACAATAAAGCATTCCAGCATAATGCTTGCTATTAGCAGGCAGCTTTTCCTGAATAACTGTTTCAACTAATGGAGGCAATTAGGAGTTAAATTCAAAGTTCACTTATGGCCTCAGCCTGGGATGTTTTCCTTTCCTTGTACAATATTTTCTCTGCCTTCCCATAGGTAGTCATCTGAAATAAGCAGTTCGTTAATTTTCCTCAATATCCTCATTCCCGCCTGGAACTAGGGGAGTTGCAAAAGGGTGGCTGGCAAAGTTAGTTCCTTACAAGAGGAAAACTCCTTTGTACACCGACACCTTCCAGGCTTCCAACAAAAGCCTTGAACATCCTCTCCATGAGAGAACTCATGCAGCTGAAAAGGAGCTGCTTGTCCTCAGGAGAGTGAAGAACTGAAAAGGAACCGCCTGGGCTTCTGAGAACCAGCCCAGCTGCAGAGGGGTGGCAGGGACAGACTCAAGTCCCACACCTGGTGTGTGAGTCACTGCTGCCTGCTTTGGACACCCTCACTCTCACATCTTCAGGCTCACGGTGCAGGGAGCCATACAAGAGGAGGTTTTGTGTTTCCAGGACTGCCATTTCTGCTGCTCAAGGCTGGAAAAAGCTGTTGCTGAGTGGTTTAATGGGTGATTTCTGAAGCACTGTTAGGTGCAAACAGCGCCTTTGGCCCCATTGCTCAGCTGTTCCTCTTTGAGGTGAAACAGGCTTTGAGAAAGCAATGATCACTTCATTCATTTATGGAATAGCTGTGGGTAAAGTTTCTGATGTGCACAAGACTCATACAGAGCCCAGTGCTTCTGTGTGCACATTACAGGTGGCAGGTTCTTAAAAACAAACCAAAAAAGGGAACCAAAACTTTAATACTGGCAAGAGAGGGGAAAAAATGTATTAAAGCCAGCAGCATAGGGAAAAAAATATTTAAAAGCAAGTGCAAAAACCTTTGAAAAAGCCACAGTTTAGTATACCATGTCTTCCATTCATCCCAGTTCTCTGCTTTGTGATCCTTAAGCTCCACAGCCAAGCCCTGCAGTAGCTCCTGCACAGCACAAGACCTTCCTGGCAGGTTCTTGCAGCCACAGCAGAAAGCTGTGGTCTCCTTCTGCAATTTCAGACAGCTTTGTGCAGCCATCTGGTTGCATGTAGCATATTTTACACCTCAGCTTGCCAGACAGGATATGTGTTCTCTCTTTACAGCATTTTAAAATGTTATTCAGGCTCTGAATGCTACTTCAGAAAGGCAGCCTACCAGCTCCTATTTGTTAATATCAGTTAACAACAAATGCTGACAAAGATCAACTCTTGGTGGGGAATTTTCCAGGTCTTCCCCTCAGAAGAACCATATTCAAATCCACATATTTCTGTCTGAAATACATCTATTGAATCATAACAGAACATAAGTATAGCCAAAGAAACTTCTTCTGTGGAGTAAATATTGCTACTAAAATATAATAAGGGTCTCACCCTGTGCAAAGAGCCCTGAAATATTTACCCTAGCTTTTAATGGAAATGTGATCAGGCATTTATAATCATATAAAGTGGGCAAAGAGGAATTGCGAGGGGTCACATGGAGGCAGCATATTTATCATAAGAACAGTCTTGGAAGGGTGTATTTTAATTCACCATTAATTTTCTATACATTGCCATGTTTGTTCTTAAAGCATCAGGGATCTTTCCTTATTCAGTCAGTTGCTGTGACCTGACCAGCTGCACACTTGCACCAGGGCTTGTCAACTGGAACTCAGAAACAGTAATTCTATGTTTATTAATAAATCATTGTCTTCCTAAAACATATAAAAGAATAAGCAAGAGTTTCTCAGTTTTTTTCAAAAGTTAGTTCTATTGATCCTGCTAAAATAGCAAGCCATGCACAATCTGTTATGGTCTGAACATGAATATTTTCTTAAATCTAGGATTCAAGAGTAAAATAGATAGCAGTGAAATACAAATATAAGAAACAAACTAGTTTGAGCCCTAAGGCAGTGGGCTACGGTAATCTTCAAGGACACCCATTTTTTGTGGCCAAATGCCACTGCTTGCAATCTGACCATTGCTATTGGCTGGGCCTCTGGCTGAAGAATTCCTCCTTCTGTGTATTACGAAGTGTTCTGAAGTCTGATCTCTGCTTTGGGGCTAAAAATTTACCTACTCAAATGACCAATGTGCTGCTGAGGGCAAGAAAAGCCAGTTGTTGGATTATTAAAATAATTGAACTAATGGAAGCAGTTAGGAGTTAAATTCCAAGTTCACTTATGGCCTCAGTCTAGGATGTTTTCCTTCCCTTATACAATATTTTCTCTGCCTTCCCATAAGTAATCATCTGAAATAAGCTCTTAGTTAATTTGTCAATATCCTCATCTCCAATCCATTGTACTCAGCCTTACATTTACAGGCTGTGACCCTCTCGGCAGCTCTGGCTCCCACTGGCCTCCCCTTTTCTTTGGAAACTGGAAGGAAAGGACAGAAACTGGGCCATGCTCAGATGATGGATTCAAGCAAGAACTTGATATGAGGGGGTTCTCATCTCTCATTATTGGAATATGAATCCCAATATTACCAGTTAGATTGTGCCTGTGCCAGTCTGACCCTCACTGCTGAGCCAAAGGCGGCTTCTGTGGTGCATCACCCCAGAGACACCTTTAGCTTGCTGATGGTTTCAGCTGGGCACTAAACAAGTCCAGGCTTGTTAGGGACTCCGTTTACCTTAGGAAGAAGACTTCAGGCGAAGGTGAAGAGAAAAAAGGAGAGATTCTGCCGGAGGGTTATATGCAGTGGTTTATTCCATGGTTACAGAGGTCTGAATCTTGGGAAGACCTCCAACAGAATTCCAAGCACATGGCCGGATTCACCTTTTAAGCTCAGGGGGAGGGGCGGGGACAGGTGAGCCACCAACCAGGTGGGGGGGTGGGGTCTCAAGGGTCGAGGGACACCTAGACAGGCCAATGACCTCTGGGCCTGAGGGACATCCTTTGAATTTGACCAACCACACGACGCCTTTGCTGGAATGTTAAGCCTGATTGACAGGACTCACTCAGCAAGGGGGCGAGGGGGGAAGGGGAAGAGAGGTATTGCCATGCCTGGGAGGTGACCTGAAAGTTTGAGACACACCGCAACATCTCATCATACCCCCAGTTCCTTCTCTGCTCCCTCCTTGCCAAATGGAAATATGAGCCAATGAAATCCAAGTTTTCCTAAGTTTCAGGCTACAAAAAAAAGTGCTGCTGTGTCTGTTCACCATCATGGTGGGAAACCACCCCAGCTGCAAAATAGATCTCCCTCTTCAAAGTCTAGTAAGACTTTCCCTGCTGGGTGGGGATTTTCTGCCTTTCAGTTCTCAGATGGTGGGTTAAACTAAATTATAAATGGAAAATTATAAATGGAAAAAAATAAAAACTAACAAAAAAAGCTGCCTGTGAAATACAAGGTATTTTTGGACAAACAAACAAAAAATAATGTTCAAGTCTCCTTATGGCACTTTTTCTGAGGATCCTGCTCTATTTTGGAATGCTCTTAGCAAGTTAATGTTGACTGCTTATATTTTTTAAGTTTCAATGAGTTTTCTTGTAGAATGCAGAGCCAAGTGTCTGAACACATAGTAATGTATGCTCAAAGGAATTTAGGAGCATATATTAAGATGCTGCAGTTGTAAAGATTGGCAGGATCATGATACCCATGCCTGACTGTGTAAAACAGCATCAGTTGCACAGGCACAAACCAGAGCAGTTGCTTGTCATGAACCAGACATTCAGTTTTGCATTTGGTACAGTCTTTAACAACTACTGGTCTCATTTACATTCACCACACACAAACCAGCCCAGACTAATGGCAAAATTAATCACAGTGGAGTGGAAAATTGTTGAAAGACTCACTGACAGATTACAAATGCCTTCCAGTCCCATTATGCACCTCTGCAGGCCCCATTCCTTCCCTCTCCTCTGGTACTCTCCTGCCTGGCAAACTGGTGACTTTCTGCCCAGAGAGCTACCACTGATTTCCCTCTGTCCATTTCTTCCACCAATTGCTGCTGCCCCAGCCTCACTTCTCATTCCTTCCTTCTCCCAATCTCTGAAAATTTCCTCTCAATCTCCAGCTACCACAATGTTTTTGCCAATGTTTTAAGTGCTTGTGTGTGACAGTGTTCACAGGGGTTCTCGGGATGAGGGAAGAGACATAGATCTGACTCCATGTTTCAGAAGGCTTGATTTTTTATTTTATGATATATATATTACATTATAACTATACTAAAGAATAGAAGGAAAGGTTTCGTCTCAGAAGGCTAGCTAAGCTAAGAACAGAATAGAAAAGAATGATAACAAACGTCTGTGGCTCAGAGAGAGAGAGAGCAGCTCTGCCGTGAGTGGTCACTAAATCCAAACATCCACACGAGACCAATCACAGATGCACCTGTTGCATTCCACAGCAGCAGATAACCATTGTTTATGTTTTGTTCCTGGAGCCTCTCAGCTTCTCAGGAAGAAAAAATCCTAAGAAAGGATTTTCATAAAAAGATGTCTGCGACACTTGGGTCCAATGGAAACTCAGGGAGAGCCACAAGGGCTTCACCCCAGCTCCAACCCCTGCAGAGCTCAGCTCACAAACACAGTTCTGCTGCAACCTCCCTGTCACTGCACACAGACGGGGGCAGTAACCACCTCTGGATTGGCAAACCAGACTGTTCTGGACCTCTCCAATTATATTTTCTCCTTCTGATTAATGATTTTAATATTAAGTTCTAAAATGAAGGAAATTTGAGCTGCTCTGTTCTAGATTTTTCAGCATGTGTGAGCAAATTTTTGTACATTTGTCCTGTAAAAAAAGCC